GCTCCAAATGACTATTTATTGCTTTAATGCCAATAAACTGAGTCAGAGTACACAAAAACTACTTTCGACGCACGAACCGTGAGGAGACACTGAAATGCAATAATGTTGGAGCGTTTCTTACTTCTTGTTTTCACTGAATAATTTGATGAACCCGATGCTGCATTTAAATGAATACACAAAATGATAACTATAAGAGGAAACCACTGTTTATTTGGTTCCCTAAACCTATCATATCCAATGTCATCTGTCAAATGGGGGGGGGTGGCAGACTATGTTGAATTCTAGCCTCACTTTCAGTTTGTTTTATATGTGGCTTGGTACGTTTGGATATGCCGGTATTTATTCGCAACTTTGAAATTATTCTAAGCATAATTTGCTATGAGATTCTGTGAACTTTCATTTCGTCGCTGTCAGGTTCCCACCTGGAAAGTTTTACCTTACTCTCAATTCAAGATGCCCAACACGAAGAAACAGCCTAGTTAACCACACACACACACATTCAATCGTTTAAGCAAAAAGGGTACACTCTAGAGCACTAGGAACCTTCTGGCCAGGGAGTCTGGGTCCAATGGGGCCTGACCCTTCTCCGGGTCAAAATATGACCCCCTTTTGGGTCATATTTGACCCCTTTCGGGGTCAGATATGACCCACGGGGTCAAATATGACCCAAAAAGGAAGATACCTCGCTGGACTGCACCACGCTACTCCAAAAGGAAAAAAACAAAAACCGTAATACTTTCAATCGTAAAAGGAACCTTTTATCAAATTTGCAAATACGGGTTGACCTGTGGGGTAGAGTCACCGCGTGTACGTTTTCCACGGCACGCGTCTGCTTCCGATACGGGGTTAACTAATTCAACTGAAAAGAACGTGAGTTGCATATCCCGATTGGTTTCAGTTGGAATGTCTACACTACTAGGTTTTCCTCTGATAAAAAATCTGTCCTCTTTTAAGTGGATTTAGTAAATTTTCCCCCAATCTCCTAATCCAGCGACAGATCTTATTCTTTCTTCCTAAATCTGTATACGTCTCCCAACCTACGTCACAGTCGTATTTTTATCCCGTCAAAAACTTTGGTTGCAATCAGCTTGAAACTCGAAGAATAACTTGCAGAGTACTAACAAAATTTCAGCCAGCGATCAAAACACCTAATGATTAATAGCCACACTAATACTATAAGAAAACATGCGCCTCTGTAAAAGTGATGCGTAGAATGAACATGTTGAGGCGAAACCTAACACCACCCAGGGTTGATATGTCTGCGAACTTTGGCCGCCCACAGGAACGGCTGGCAATATGGGGACACTTCAGAACATCTGCGCCATTTCATCTGGACCGTTCGGGGACGAATTGTCACTGTCACTGTTCACTCAAAACGACGGGTCCGCGCATGGGCATTTCGCGCTACTTGCTGCAGAGCAGTATCCTTCGTCAACTTCTGTTCGAAATATTGAGACTATGCAGTACCACAGTACGGCCACTGACGTTTCTCGATACGGATAAAACAAAATGGGTGTCAAATAAAAAAGAGCTAAAATGGAAGCCTTTGTTCTTTGTGATTATTGCAAATTATCCTATACTATTGATATGTAGCTTTGACGAAATATTTTTATTATTAAGTGGAACGCGAATTGCCAAACAAAAGAAACACACAAAGGCAAATCAGTTAAAACATCTTTATACATTTGGGGAGGAGGCTATATCCCTTAAGGACTTTCACCAAAATTGGTTTTGAATGTCGTTTGGCCACGAACTGGAGTCGTGACAATCTAATATGCTTTATGATTACAGCGCATGCGAAAAAAGGAAGAAAAACAGCCACACGGGGCCGTTCACTAATTCGAGACCTAGTTTTCGGTCTTGCCTCGTGCTCGAGGGCTGGAGAGTCGGTGCTGTGCGCGGCATACTTGTGTCGTGGGTTAATATCACGTCGGCGGGGAAGATATCCAGTTCAAGTGGTCGCAATCCTGGAGGCCCCCCGTTGCTGCACTTTCCGCGGGCGGGGCATCTTGGAGTACATGAAATACATTCCACAGACGACTGTTTGCCCAGCGCTCGAAACACACCACCTCGCTGAGAGAGCGGCGGATGAGGCAGTTAAGCTAGTCTCCGCCCGAGTCGCTTTATTTTCTTCAACAATTCCTTTTGGAATCTGTGGTCAGCCTAGGAGTTTGGAAGCGTTCAAGGATATATCGTGTCCATCTTTGCACTAAATGTCCTCCATTTCGTTTTATTTTTCTACTAGTTTTGAGGCATTTGAAGGCTAGAGTGACGCGCTCTCAAAAAGTGTCATTTCACGCAAGAGTCATTGAGCTTAAAACAGGCTGATCAAGTGAGCCCGTAAAGTTTCTTTTTAATGCGTTTTCTCGTTCGACGTTATGATGGCTCAACCAAAGTTTCGACAGCAGTCTAGCGCGTTTTTTTTCATAACGCACGGGCTTAGGAACCGCAGTGCGGCAGTGAAGAAGGATATCTGAATGGTACGACGGCAGAACTTGACAGGTATTTGATCAGCATATTGCCTGTGCGTTTCAACAAACGATCACAGAGCTGTTCGCAAAGTCGCAGGTCTCAGCCACGTGACACCGGCACTCCTGTAAAAGTGGAGAGAAAACTATTGTATTGTACAATATCGATACATCTGTTACACAACGGCTTTGGACACAGCATGCACCAGGGCGCACAGACGGTCGATAAGTGCAACCCATGTGTCCAGCTACAGCACAGCAAGCCATACGGGAAACCAATCTCTGTATTTTAACAGGGGCTTAGCATGACAGCCAGCTCGCAGGGCAGTTCTTTTGTTCGACAGATAAACCTCCTTTGCGCATACCCTGTGGACCAATAGCGCTGACCTCCAAGATTGCAGCCATAAAAACCCTTTACATAGAGCAGAATTACAGCTGAGTAGGTTTTATGTAAAAATCGGATTTTCAATGCTCGAGTAACCAATTAGATCTCTGCCGCAAAAACCTTGACAACAAGCTTCGGACGTGCAAGCTGTGGGATTTTATAAAATTTGTTGTTTTTTCCAGCTTAACAAAAAGGCATCCACGTTATCATATCGTTCAAGTTTCATCATTTTTTTTTCTTTTGCCCATACTGCACCGTTGTATCCATTTTAGTGCGTGCAGATAAAAAAAAATTCTTTATTGAGAAAACTTGTTTTCCAAAAATCTCACTTTCCGGACACGATCGCAACAAATCATGGAAAAGAAAGCCACACTGCTGAGAATAATCTCCAGATGATGTTGCCAAAAATAAAGCAACGCCCGCAGTTCTGGATGCGGCCCAGTTTTTGACGCGCTGCGCTCGCTCTATCCGTGGCTATCTCGAGAACAGGTTTCCGCGCTGCAGAGCCGGAAGCCCAGCGGGTGGTGTTGTCTGCCAGTGCAAATTGGCCCAGATTTCTGAGGGAGGCGCGCGGCGGCCGCCTTAAGGACGGAGGGGGGGTTGAGACCTGGAGAAGGAGATTAAAAAGAAGAGGGAGAGGGAAGAGGGGATTAATGATGACGGAGCATCTCCGGTTGGCCGGCAGGAAAAGGTCCTTTAGGCGACTGGGCGAATCTAGATACGGCATCCTTCCACTTGGGCGTGCTTAACAAAACGGATCGTTCAACTTAAAAGGCTCATGGCTTTTGAACAGTGCTCTCAATACATCCGCATCTACTTTCTAACCTCTGCTGGCCATGCCGTGTCCGAATTTAGTGACTGCGGCTTGAAGCAGCGTAAGTCTTTAAGGAACGACTTCAGCCGCTAACCTGGGGGTCTTCATGGGGTCTACACTGCCAAAACTGTGTTTACCAAATAAACACGTTTATGTTTAAATAGTAAAAAGTTTTAGAGTTTTGATGATTTGTGTCTAGCCACTGGACACTAAAGTTAAGGAAAAGGACACCAAATGTTTAGCATTTAAACATGTTTACAAAGTGACAGCAAGATTGGGTTTCATTACCGTTAAGGATGAGATACCACCGAGAACCGCACGCTAACTTCAAGGCTGGATTGCGTTCAGAGCTAGGTCTTGGTATTTGCCAGTTAAAAATACATAGGCACAAAGCCACAGCCCTCAAAGCTCTTATCGGATATTGTCTTAGATGCAGAATAGATACAGAAATATCTACATATTTATACGTGCGTTCTTCTTCTTGTAATGATGTTCTTCCTGTTCGTTTGTACGGAAAGAACACTGCTTACTTCTATCCTCGTTTCCATCCAGAAACAAGAACAGTCATTTTGTTAGGCTAATATAAATTTTATGCACGTATTTATCGGTATTCGGTCCTTTACTGGTTCTGCCCGACTTATAGGGGTATTAGTTTTAACGCGAGCTCATCAAGATCTTAATACTATGATTAAGACCTAATACGGACGATTCACAATAGTGCGCCTTCAAAAGTTTGCAAGGCGTTGGCCAATCACAATGCGCGAAGTTTGTCGACCCTTTCCAAACGCGCTTTCGGTCGACGGATTTCGTGCATCACGATTGGCCAGTGCGTTGCAAACTCTTGGAGGCGCACCATTGTGAAATGCCCGTATTGCAATTTGGTTTCATTTAATATTATTTCATGATTAGCCTGAGCTTTAGATATCACGCTTGAGATTCAAGTCATTTCCAGTTGTGTTTCCAGGGTTTCGTCTCCCGGTGTGAAGTTAGTGTCATTTTTTTTCGCCGTTAACTGTCACTTTTTGGTTTTGTATTTCCAACATGTTTGAAACTTCAGTAACTTTTCCTCGCCACTGCACAACAGACTGTAATTCACCCCGAGTAGAAGCACCCCCTCATCGGTTGAAATGAGCCGCGTTGGTAGGGCATTTTTATATTGTTGTTAGCGATGCTACTGCAACGTTTGCGTTTCACCGTCGTTCGTGAACCAGTGATGCGCAGGTACTACCAAAGGAGCCTCCGTTGCTATGTCAAGCTGAAGGCCATTAATACACGTCATGTTTCTCGCCACGTACACGTACACTATGTTTCTGTTATTCTGTTTCTGTTCCAGGAGGTGACCGTGAGTGTATCTGTGTACACGCTGGTCGCCATAGCCGTTGACAGGTACCTGGCTATCTGCAGGCCGCTGAAGTTCCACATTCGGGCGTCGCGTACTCTGTTCATCGTCGTCTGCATCTGGCTCTTGTCGTTTACCATCATGGTCCCACAAGCCGTGTTCGTCCGCCTCCAGCCCAACTCCATCGCCGAGCAGTACGGCAATCCCGTGTGGATGACGGCATGTATGGAGGTAAGACGCGAACACAGCATGGCGCAGTGCACGATTGGGTTTTCTAAGATCTTGTTTCAATTCAGCCCGCCAATACGGGCGATTCACAATAGTGCGCCTCCAAGAGTTTGCAACACGTTGACTAATCACATAGCGCAAAATCTGTTTGCCTGTGGGTCGAGCTACATCAAACGCAACGTGGTCTATTGCAGGTGTGCGATACTGCCATGTACATGTACTGTGCGCTGTGTACATGTACACCAGCAATGCATGTAACTGTTCTGCCGATGACGTCATCCAATCAGCCTTGGAGCGCCAACGGCCAAATGTGGTTCTTGTGAGTGGGGAAACGCAGGGTTTTTATTCATCTTGGGGTCACAACTAACGGGGAAAACATTCAAATTATGACTTTTTAAAATGGTCACATATTCATTATTATTTTGAGGTGCTTCACGTGATATATATGCTTTCATTTTCAGTTTCCCTTTAACTGCTGCACGAAATGTTGTAACAGCAAATTTAGTTTTGCACTGACGGCTTGCCATAGTTTGCCAACCACTAGCCGGCACATATTTCGACTGTGACGTCAAGAATATGTGAGCACCATAATTTTGTCAGAATCTGACCACCGCCGCGCAGCCATACAAAGGTTGATGCTTGCAATTCTGCGCTCAGAAAACATCGCGCAAATCGAACACATGACAAACAAGACGTTCAGTCTTTGCCATAATGAAAGCTGACTTTAATCCTGGAAACGACAAACAACGCTCTTTTTTCTGAAGGAAACCACTTTATTACAACGGACTCTCTGACTAAAGAAAAACAGGAAAAAGGAGTAGGTTGTGATAAATTAGATTACCTTGCGCGGTAATTCATCATAACACAACAACAAGCCTGTTCAGTACTTCAAAGTCCCGTCGAAAGCCATCAGGCTAGGGCGACCAGATCTCGTTCAATATTTCTTTCCATCACCATGCGCAATCCGGACACGTTACTCGCGACCAACAGCGCGGTGGGGCGCCTCCAAGAGTTTACAACACGTTGACCAATCACATAGCGCGAAATCTGTTTGCCTGTGGGCCATGCTTCATCAAACGCAAAGTGGTCTATTGCAAGCGTGCGATACTGCCATGTACATGTACTGTGCGCTGTGTACATGTACACCAGCTGTGCATGTAACTATTCTGCCGATGACGTCATCCAATCAGCCTTGGAGCGCGAACGTCCAAAGGGGATTTTTGTGGGTGCGGAAACGCAGGGTTTTTTTATTCATCTTGGGGTCACAACTAACGGGGAAAACATTAAATTTATGGCGCTTTTGAAATGGTCACATATTCATTGTTATTTTGACGTGCTTCACGTGAAATAAATGCTTTTATTTTCAGTTACCCTTTAACTGCTGCACGAAATGTTGTAACAGCTAATTTAGTTTTGCACTGACGGCTCGCCATAGTTTGCCAACCACCACACGGCACATACTTCGACTGTGATGTCAAGAATAGGTGAGCACCATTTATCAGAATCTGACCACCGCCGCGCAGCCATACAAAGGTTGATGCTTGCAATTCTGCGCTCAGAAAACATCGCGCAAATCGAGCACGTGACAAGCGAAACGTTCGCTCTTTGCCGTAATGAAAGCTGACTTTCATCCCGGAAACGCCAAACAACGCTCTTTTTTTCTTAAGGAAACCACTCTATTACAAGGGACTCTCTGACTAAAGAAAAACAGGAAAAAGGAGCAGGTTGTGATAAATTAGATTACCTCGCGCGGTAATTCATCGTAACACAATAACAAGCCTGTTCGGTACTTCAAAGTCGCGTCGAAAGCCATCAGGCTAGGGCGACCAGATCTCGTTCAATATTTCTTTCCATCACAATGCGCAATACTGACACGTTACTCGCGACCAACAGCGCGGTACGTTGGGGCCATTAACAAAGTGATGACTGCATCCATCTTAGTGCACACAACGGGCTGATCAGTCAATGAGGCGAAATTTCCCGCCCTAGTGACGAGACATCAGCGTGCGTGTGGCAGGGGATGAGCAATCGCCAGATCCTATATACGGACTCTCGCCCTGATGTGCTTGTTATCAGTGGAGGAATTATCGGCTTCGCTTCAGCTGAATGTCCGTGTTCCCTGTACCCGGGCTTCTTTAAGGTCACTTCGGCTCGTTTTCTGCTTCAGGAAAGTCGAACTGAATAACACAAAACTGAAAAAATAGGCTAATGAGTCGAACGGTAAATAAATAGAAACCCGCCGGAGATTTTTAAATGAACTACATTATTCAGTTTCAATTAAGTCTACCTTTTTAAAATTTAGTTTCAGTTTTGGGTTTTGATTTTACTGTGGTTAGTGCAACGCTTAGCGGTAAAAGCCCAAATGCACCTGCATTGTAATTTATTTAAAGGAAAAATGTTATTTCGTTCGGTTGAGCGGGTAGCGAATTAGAACGAAATTAAGTTCTTATTGTAGAATGTATCACTCCGTGTCGCAGAGGTGCTATGAGTCTCGGATATATAAATCGGGGTGTGGCAAGAATGAGCCATCTGCGGTCCGACAAGCAAACATTACTTCATCATAGCAACTTATTCTTGTTATTTGCAAGGCTTTTTTCCCATGGGTTTTTACCCCTCAGGTTTTTCCCACTGGGTTTCTCCAACCTACAAATAAAACAAATGAAGTTGTGGTGACGATGGAAATCGTCATCGTATTTTTCACACGACAATTATTTATCCCATGCTTTTAATTTATTTACTTGTCATGAACCATATCGTCTATACTTTGGTACAGGTATAGTTTTAAAATGATAATGATTGCACGGATTCCTTAGTAATCAATCGTAATGCTACACTGTAATGTCTGGATTGCAGGGACAGTAAATGGTACCAGGGGTTAAGATTTAACGACATAAGATCTTTTAGGCCACAGCGAGAGACAAGTGTTCATAATTTTGAATCAATTAAATGGAAGAAGTAATAAATAAAAGGGGTGTACATGCCAGTCGACCGCCCTCCCAAAGTTGTAATCCAAGTGTCATGGACTCATTACGAATTCACATCATTGGTGTTACCTACTCGTGTGGACAGTTTTTAACATTTCTTTGCCTCGTCATGACTATAGATATACTGAGGACGTTCGCGACGATTGGCATAACTGCTTTCCGTGACAGATCTAACGAAGTGAAAGTAACAACTCCAGTAATGACTCTGGAGGCGCTGCATGGCAGCCATCTTGCAGGGCAGTGCTTTTGTTCCACAGGGAACCTCCTATGTGCATACCCCATGGAACAAAACCACTGCCCTGCAAGATGGCAGCCATGCAAACCCTCTATACTGAAACATTCGGTGTGATGCTGGATTTGCGCACACGAGTGCATCTTCTGTTGAAGGGCGCCGTTCCAACATGAAACATCGATTCTTCCCCCAACACCCCACCAAAACAGAGCAAATACTGACACCAAATATGTTAATCTCCAGGTGTCCTAACATTCCTACACTGAGATAATGGTCATTCTTCGCGGGAATGCTTCTGGCGATAATGTTTAATGCATACATTAGCATCGTACCCGTGGCCCTATAAGTAGAATGATAAACATTTTGCATAGTCATTTTTTTCTCTCTTGTTTCCCTTTGTTTCTTTGTTCTTTTTCGTTTTTTCTTTTTACAATTTAGCCCCACTTCTTGGCATACGCAGGCTTCCTTCCTTATTCAATCGGCCGTTCGGGACCACGAAAGCAATTTTTGCCTAACAAGTTGACACAGTTTCACACACCTTCGATGAATTTTAAATAACCATTGTTTCAATGTTGGTGGTTAAGCGTGGTAGTTATTTCTTATTGATTACTGTGCGTTTTGTCACATTTGTTGCAAGTGAAAACAAAGTGTTCCGAAAAACATACATATCTGTATCCATCAAAAGGGACTTAAATTTTGGTATAATTTGCAAGGCGGGAAAAGATATCCTGTACCAAATATTCCAAAACAGAAACGACTGAGAACTCACGTAAGATTTCCAATCCCGAACATAAATCTGTGGTATCAATTGGTGCACGAGCTAATACGATCAAGAGATTGTGTAATATTTCAAGGCAAATATACAAAGAATGCACCAACTAAAGTGAATTTTGGTGTGTGTTTCAGTTAATACACGTGTTAGAGAAAGATACGGTTCTGGTCGAAAGTTTGCATATATACTTCGACTGGAGGTGTTTAAATGTAGTTTGAAGTCTTTATTCCTGGTAAATTTTCTTCTTCTATTTTAAACTGATCAACCGGAATATCATGTAAATAAGGTGGAAATGCTGGCTGATCGGAAGAGAACCGTCCCCAGGATTCGGCACAGTCTTTAAAAGGTGAAATTAAACACTTTCAGTCCAAATGTATTCAAACTTTTAACCATAGCTGACCTATCTATATCAACTTGTTAAATCCACGTTTCCGCTTTTAAGAGTCTGCACAGTGTTCCATATTCCTTGTTTGATGCAGCGTTTTTCCTATTTGTGTAGCAAAACAGTTCGATTACAGTAGGCCAAATGCTTTCATTAGGCGGAGAAATGGGTTAAATGTGCGTGGGACGCGCGAGCGTCGAGCGCGGGGCCGGAATGCATCAGCCCACGCGGGCTGGCGGACCTGTTTGGGTCCGGTATGCGATGTGAACAGTGATCAACGTAATCTGGTATGAATTTGTTGTGAACGTTTATTCTACTGCTGTTAGTTTTACTCTTAGGGTTCCCAAAATGAACAGTTAACCTCACTTTCAATTTCAAATGGGCGAAACATGAATACAGTCTATAACAACCACCACATCATTAACCGAAAGCAACGAGCACACATACCGGCTGGAAAGCGCCGAGCAAGGGTATCTCTTTTGAGACGGTGTGGCTCTGAAGCGGTCTCTGAAAAGAACTCCCTCTACAAGAGTTTCTCTTTTGAGCAGGTGCAAATCACACATACTCCAAAAAGACATCCCTGCATGGTGCTACAGCAAACCTCTCTCTCTGACGTGCCACCTTCACCATGACAAGCGTCGAAGCCATCCAGCAGGTTTCAATAGGCCCTATCCTCACGAACCATAAACCATTATGTATGCGACACTGTGGGCTCACATGACTCCCCGCTTCTCCGGCAGAGTGGCTGGAATGGGACGACCATTCAGAAGGTCTACCACGTCGCCAGGGTGGTTGTGACGTACATCTTGCCCCTGGTGCTCATGGGGGTGGCCTACGCCTTGGTGTGCCTGCGGTTATGGTCCGGCATCCCGACGGATGAGGCCCAGAGACCTGGGTCAGCCGGACACAGCAAGCAAGTCACCATGAACAAGGTAGAATAATGTGTGGAGTATTAAGTTCAAATACTAGACACGGTCCCATTTCAACACTCAAAACGAACTTTACTAAGTCCATGAAATAATATCATTGAATGCCATACAGGCCTCTATGATACTTTACTTAAGGCAATTCAGTGTGCACAACCCTTCCTTTTGACCTCTGTATTTTAACCACTCAGCAGCCATGTATAATGGGCCTTCAGAAAAAATCCATGTCCTACGAGCAGGCTGACCAGGTCAGCTAACGTGTATAGTAAGCAGATAACTATATCAACTATAAACCATATCCAGTTCTACTAAAAGTCACGTACATTTTCTATGCTCACCACACATTGAACAAAGTCTGGTACTCAGACTTGTTTCCCCATCCATACAGGAAGCAGGTGTGGATTAAATGGAGTTATTCTTTTACCAAACGTTGTTTTTCAGGGTTCAACCACCCTAACTGTAGAAACCTGACAATATCACATCTGAATTCTAACTTGCTGTCGACTTGATATACAATCAATTTGAAAACAAAAAAGCCATTCAGCACAACCCTCTGATGTTAAATAGCCCGTTTTAATAGAATCATAGACACTAAGCTTCAGCTGAATAAATAGAACCACGACCCTTCGAAATTTGCTGGAACCATGCTGGGTCTGCAGGGACCAAGCACCGTGCCGGGAAACCCGACGTAAACTCTTTTACAACAAAGATTCTTCAACCTTGCTAGGGAAACGAGTGGTCAAAGTCGACAAAGAATCGTTAAAAGATTTTTAAGAAAAGGAAACTCAAACTACAACTTGTTCCTGGATTTCGACTATTCCGTTGCTTCGTCAAGTTTGGCAGTGTGTCAAGTAATCCAATTCGGCAAAGTGCCGTTGAAAGATTAACACAAGAAAGTCGAACATTCACCAGGCCCTGATTTTGTGCGATCCCATTGCTTAAATCTTTTGAGTTGAGTTGACATATCCTATTCGACAGTGTGTCGACTAAGCAGTGTTAACACCAGCACATTTTGAATACCCTGCTGAGTTACTCTTAATCTATATACTTGTTATCTTCAGTCAACGGAAACACAGCTGGAGTCACGACGCAAAGTGGCCCGTATGCTGATCGTCGTAGTGGTCATGTTCGCTGTCTGCAACCTACCAACCCATGTCCTGAATGTGATAAGGTAAGTTGCAAATACCCCTTGTGTATTTACTGTCCTGCAACAATTTATGCAAAACCGTGGCACAGAAATTACCGGGTTTTTAAGTGTGACGTCACTTCAGTTTAAACCACGCACATAGGATTAGATGCATTGATTGCCGTTTACATGGAACAGTGGAACCGGAAGTGAACGCGCAACTTCAGCGATCGTCTAATGGGAACCTGCAAAACGTGACGCGTCCGCCTTTGTGTCGAAGTCACTTACGAACGGGATATACCTGCTGACCTTCGTGGCCCCGAAGTTACTAAGACGTCACCAGTTCGTTACCGCGCGCAGCGACTAACTCAGGATTTTTGTTGCAGACACCTGCGATTTTGGTTTTCTCTATAAATGGCATGGCATCTGAACATCGTTGTCTTGTATTCACGATTCGTTGTGGATTCAAAAAATCGAAAAAGACTTCCACATAGGCCTATGGCTTCAGTGAATGATAGTTTTACTGTATATACTACCAACTCGATCACCAACTCGCGTCTGCCGAGTAGAAATCACGAAAATCGCCTGCAGCTTCCGAGGCTCATCAAAAGTAAATAACGAATGAAAGGCTGTTCGGAGTCTGTTGAGCTTATAGACGAATTATTCCTTTGAAAGAAGGCACAAAATGTAGAATGGCTGCGTGGAGCAGTCCGCTGTGAGTAAAGAGCAAACCTCAATGAACCAGTTTCGAAGCTCACGCAACTGAAGATTGAAATAAGAAGCGACAAGAGACGAAGCACTGATGGAAACAACGTGTACGCCACCTCAGCACGGTGGAGAGCGAGTGCATGGAACACACGCTAAACCATTTTATATCCAGGAACGTTCCGCGCGAAGAGGAATGACAAATAGGATAGCGTTCTGTATATCAAAGTCAAGTCTAAATTGATAATAACTAGGCCAAATGCAAAAGCAAAAGAAAGAATTTCACTGCATGGCTTTTGCAAGTGTGTTCACAAAATACTAGGGCTTAGTCAATTCGAATAATTTACTATTCGCCCTTCAATTCGATCGAATATCCGATTATTCGGTCATACCGACCGGCAGATTGTTGATGAACAAACCATATACAAAATCAGTTGCAATAAGGCACACAATTGTACATTATAATCATTAAAATTGATTCCCACTTCTAGGAGTATCTCCTGCCACGATTTAGCCAGATTTAACAGACGAACAGTACTTCTTGCCCTATTGAAACTTCATTCTAATTTTTTAAAAGAATAATTTACTTTTTAAATTGCTGTCGCTTTTCATTTGAATCTGCTTTAAACAAGCATCCGTAGTGCGATTTTTCTCAATGAAAACAACACAATTTTAAATAATATTCGAATATTTGATAATCGATCGAATATTCGGATATTCGGCACAGCCCTGCAAAAAACTTGTCCTTAAAATATAAATATTTTCGACAGTAATATTTAGCGTGTCTTAAATGCTGTGATTTCATTGGTCCTGAACGGTCCCCTGTCACGTGTCAAGCTCTAGCGCCTCAAGTACGAAACGCGTTACATAAACACCCCTATCCGCTTCTATGCGTTCCCTTCTACGTAATGACGTCAGCCATTTACACATGGGGGAAAAATTCCATGTAGGTCTCTGGTGCCCACGCTATTTTCACCTCTGCGTCAGCCGAAAGTAAACCGAGACAGGACAAACAAAAATGACCGATGGTAAATCACACACAGTCGGTACGACACCTATCGTGAGGTCGACACTGTTGCCAATTTTAGACACGCTGCGTCCCACTCACGGCAGCAGTCAACAACTGTTAAATATGATTTGGATGCGGCTCTACAACACTCAGGAATCGCACTCCCGATATTGTAAGTCAGCTGATCCCCATTTCGATCAACAAGTTAATCCTATACAAAAATGGTGAACCCTCTACGTCTTCAGTGTGTGTTTTGTTTTATGTCTCTTCCATCCCTTCTCGTCTCGTCACCGGTGAAGCTGCTAACTGATAAGGTGTCTGGGGTAAACATAATTGACCTCGATTCCTCTAATTATCGAATACAGTCTGATGTTTCACGGTCGGGGTTAACTGTGACAGCCAGTGCGCGGGGTCAAGTATCTGCAGCCCCTGCCTACGGGGAGATGCGAGCGCTATTTCACGCAGGCGTCTTCACACTGTAGATCACAAATTTTTCTGAATTACCAAAACGCGACAGGATATGCCCTCAGCAGCCTCCTAGACGAGTAAACATCGGGGGCACTTTACTTACAATCCCCACTCAGGCACCATTCAGATTTTCCCCTTTTAGATAGGCAGTCCTTCCAAGGCGCTTCCTCACACTTGCTTCCCTGAATAATAATTGCACCGCAAGAAACTACTCCGCAGAATGAATAGAGAGAGAGATCTAGAAAGACGCACACACGCCAGCAAGGAAGGAAAAGACAACATATTTCAGGGACTAGAACCAGGTGAACCAATAGACGGCGGGGCAAATGCACGTGCTGTCCCCGTAGCCGCTCTGCCAAAGTCACTGTGATCGAGTTACGCGGTTTGGGATTCTTTGACTCTGGGCCTGTCGCTTACCAATGTCGCCTAACGGGGCCTTGATCCGCGGACCAAAGAATCCCATTGCAGATGCAAGTCTCGAAATAATTATGTTGCTTTTTCGCTGCTTTCTAAGATGAAACTTTGCACTATCTACACACCACCCATACTCTTCAGCCTTGTACAGACGTTGACGTTTTCAATTACAATTTAACAGACACATCTGTTTTTGTGACATTTTGGCGTTTCCTCTGGGAAAACGAGTGATTCACACTACCGCTCGACCGTCTATCGAGGGCTCCTATCAACGGAAGCACGATCTGCATTATGGGTAAAGATCGAAATCAGCATGACTTTCTTCATTGTGCCTCTTCCGTGCATTCAAGACGCAAACCCAATCTTCTTCCTGTCACATGATATTTCCACGTCATTCAAAATTTAACTTCGTCCAATCGCATCGATCGTTCTCGCTGGATATCTGCAATATTCAAAGCGCAGTACAGATTGCAAATTGTCGCCCATACAATGACGTCGAGCCGTGCGCCGGAATAGATCTCTCCGGGCGATAAAAGTGGCGTGAATCGCCAACATTGACATATACAAAATGCTTAGAGGTCTCAACTGACGCTGTGGTTCTTAAGGCTCACAAAGTAACCCGGACAATCAATGGAAATGTGTCGATTGTTTCTTCTGAGAACTGCAACTTCGTTTTTCAAAACAACTCCTCGGTTTCTCACGACGAATAATTGCAGGGAAGAGAATTCACCCGACACAAGGAACTTCTCACGATGGTGACCGCCGTGTCTCCTGCCTTTGCTCAGGCGATATGACCGCACACTGCAAAAACTGTGGTGTTTAATTGGTGTACATTTAACACCTTTGGTGTCATCAGAGGACTACACTCAGTTTCGTGCACTCCTCTGATAAAAAACTCTGTGTTAAATTACAACCACGGTTTCACAGTGCAGTTCCACGGGTATTATTATCAATAGGCCACAACGAGAAAAGGTACTTTTTTTTACTTGTATCGTCAGGTCGGGACGTAGCCTTTTTCGTACTAAGTATCGTAGATCTTTGCCACGCAGTTAAAATTAAAACCGAAATTCGGTTTCGCATAGGCCAAGTTCAAGGTCGATTTAATTCTGAACTTAATACATCCCATGACACTTTTTTAAATTTTAATTTTGTTACGAAAGGAATCTCAAATGTTTTACTGTTTGCAACAGGTCTTGACATGCGTATTATCTGACGACTGTTTTTGTTGAGTTTCGTATATCCGTAGTATATCCGTGTATTGCAGGACGTCTGAAGATTCCTCAAAAAAATCTAAATACTTTCCTGTGACAAGTACAATATCATTTCTCTTGAACGTCACCAGAACCTGATTCCTAGAGTTACTGCCAAAGTCTGTTTTTAACCAGTGCAATTAACTCCAGTTCCAAGTCTACAACTTTATTGCACAGGGGTCAAATGTCTATACATTTATTGTATCGAAGTTAAATGTCTTTAAAGTTATTGTACCTAGGTCACACAACGAGACTATGCGGGCACATTGTAGCCAGTTGTGCTGGTTCGGAAATACCGTCCTGTTTGGATTTTATCGTAAACGCACCACTTCCGGACGAGTTTGGGTGTCAACTACCTACATAGGATGATCTGTGCTACAAGGAAATTAAACGGACATGCGTGAGGAGCACGAGTGCTGAGGTGGTCTTCAGGTATCAAACCCATCAGTCTAGACCACCAACCGAAAACAAACTTCAAGTGTTCATTTCAGACAGCTTTATTTGCTGCGAGGGAAACATACCGTGCAGGAAAACTATAAGAGCTAATGCAAAATGATGTGCGATTCGGATGCCCTTGTATTCCATGTCTATTTCTGGTTTCCATCACAAAGAAGATATACTAGAGGGAACGTCTTCTTCAAGCATTTTTAGGAAAACACGTATCTGCCCACTCACTTGTTTACATCTGCATCGAACTGGACTCGACAGTTAAGACACTTTTTACGAGCGGGACTTACGTTGAAGTTGTTATTGCAACAAACGCTGTTTGTGCATCTTAGTATGGTGCACTTAAAGAATGAGGAACGTATGACAAAGTGCGGATTAAAGTCAAGATGCACACTGAGAAGTTGGAAAAGGAGAGACAGGGTGGAACTGAGATGTTGGAAAGTGTCCTCTTCAAGCCTAAAACATTGCTGCGCGATGTCAATTGACAGCAATTTAATCTTGTTAATACTGCGCTGATGTTAAAAACGACCACAGAATACATGTATAGGAATTATTTTACAACCCTTTCTGTTATAAATTTCACGTTTGTGTTTCAATTAACCTTCTTTTCAACTTTTTTCAGCAATTTCAATATCGATATATACTTTAGAACTGTTTTTTAATGCCAATTGCAATTTGCATATTAATGAGTAAAACTGTGACACTGTCACGGGCACTGAACCTCAATATTGCATTGTTTGTACACAAACTAA